ATTCTTTAACTGTTCAAATCCACACTGCCATGTCGACTTGCATATTATAATTCCATGGCCACGCAACTCACACTGCGGATATGGGGGGGGTTTCCACAAGATTGCTTGCAGGTTTATCCTCGGGATAGAATTGCATGATAAGTTTGCTCATTCTGGACCGTACCCACCCATGGATTCCCTGGGTAAAGCAAAAGGGGATAGCTGCCCATCCCTGCCATCCTTTGTATTGAAAAAATTGGTATGGTCTGCTTTTAAAAATAGGGTTTTGTGGTCACCCATTGCATTGTCTGAAGTGATGATGTTCCTTTGGATTCTCCACCATGTTCTCACCCCCCCTTTCTTCTAGTGAAGTATCGGAGTCTTTATCACTTTCCAGTTCCAAGCCACTGGGGTGGTGGACTGTGGAGGGATCTTCCTGAATGGGTTAATGAAGTAGAAACAAAATATATATAAATGATTATATAATTATTCAGTTGAGAGTAATGTGGTGGTGTTCTGCTGGTGTAGGTAGCATGATATCCTCCAATATGAAACATAAAAACAGATGGGAGTGAGACATCAAAATTGGAGTACACTCCTTCGATTGAGATCCTTCATCCTACCCCCATGTGGATGTCAGTTCCCAGTGACCAGGTTTTGGATTTAGAGTAGAACCAATCAACATAAGTCCTCACACATATGTTACTGATGTCTATATTCCTCCCTCATTCATACTCCATTAGTGTTGTGGGTCATGGTGAAGGTAATTATGAATTGTTACAGTTCTTTCCCTTCTGCTATCCGTCAATGTTTCTTATTCTGTGGATGTTAATGTGCTTAGGGTGGTTCCAGTCAATTTCACTTTTGATGGAGATGGTTTACATTATGTAGACATCTTTTTGGTACCAGATGTTGGTTTCTCTAATCGATCTATCAATTTATTATATTCACATGTGCTCTGTTCATGAGTCAGGGGGGTACTAGATTCCCTCTGGTCTCATGAACTTGAGGTGAAGAGGGTATGATCCTCTTTCCTACCCCCACATGGATGTCGGTTCCTAGTGGCATGGATTTTGGATGTAGTTGACTTGCCATGTATGGTCTGTCGCGGCCTAGCCACTTTACATCTAGGGGCACATCCTTTTCATTTTACCCACTTTTGTAATTTTTGGGATTGAGTTTCATAAATATTTCATGGTTCAGCTTACCTTCTGGCCATAGTTCTCTCCCAATTGGATGTGCTCCTCTGTTTCTGCCAATATATGCAACATCTTTCTTTCTTTTCCCTCCAACTTTTCAATGTACTGTATCAAAAGTTATAATTTTCCTACACTGAAAACTGGTGCTTCTATCTTCTGCAAAAACTCAAAGTGATAGTCTGATAGAATTGAACAGAGGGAGTCACCTGCGTCATTAGAGTGTGTCACACTTCTATTGGTGGAGGATGAATGCATGCTGATTTGCATGACAGACGCATTGGAATCAGTCAATTCCAATGGAGGAGAGACAGAAGGCTTGTGACATGTTTTGCATATAGAGGGCAGCACTGAACAAGAATAGTTGTTTATGTGAGAGGAGGTAAGTAACTATCGGACAGTGTTGGAAAATTATAACTTAAATATGTACATTTTTATAATAAAGTAAAAACTAATAGAGCAGGAGCACTCAACTGTGCTATTTGATCTTGAATTCTACAAATGTCATACTTCACTTTACTGGGTTTGAAGCACTTAACCTTGTGTATGAGACAGTTGCTATAACCAACAAGCTACTTTAATTTCAATTCCACAGGTTTCTACATCACTGGTTTTGTAAATATAGTTTATGGCTTGATTGTTCCAGTTGTTTGAGATTCTGTATATCGTCATCATGATTACGTGTGTAGAAAAGTAAGAGTGTATAAAATAAAAACATACTTTGGGATGTGATGTTTCCATCATATTTTATAGTTAAGACCTTAATGTTGGAACATCCACCCAAACATTCAATAAAGTCAGTAGTTTAGTTGAATTATTCAACCTAGTTTTGTTTTTACAAAATAAAGATGATACTTTAGGTCTTCAAAACTTGCTAGTTTAGTGGTCAGTACATCTTATGTCATTAACTCAGGATTTGTGGTAGAAAGTCACTTCAGCCATACAATTTCTTTTTTCTTTAAGAAACACCAACCATTTCTGTTTTGTTTGTTTTAACATTCCTTGACAGTTATCAAGCCTGAGAAGACAAATGACAACATGGAAAGAAAGTAAGGCTTCTTCTGTTTGGTCCAATTTTTTACCTAGACAAATAGTTTTACTTGATCAACGTTCATGAAAGAAAAAGTTGGTATTTTATTGAAAGTGTTAGAATTGTTTTCATGCCATAAAAGTAAAAAGGTATATGTTTGTATTTTATATGTGTGTATTTCCCCAAAAATTTATTATCTACTCAACCAAAATATTTGAATTGGAGAAGATTTCACTGAAAATATGTATTTTCTTTCTTGTTTGAGTAGTACTTTTAAAGGAGAAGCTGAAGACAGTAAACCCTGAGCCAAGTTATTCATGCATTTTTAAATACTTTGATATTGTTTGTATAGTCCTTCTGGAAGGAAAGCTGAGGAGAGTAAACCTTGAGACAAGTTATCCATGCATATTTTTAACACTTTGTTATTGTTTGTGTAGTGCTTCTGAAAGAAAAGCTGAGGAGAGTAAACCTTGAGACAAGTTATCCATGGATATTTTTAACACTTTGTTATTGTTTGTGTAGTGCTTCTGAAAGAAAAGCTGAGGAGAGTAAACCTTGAGACAAGTTATCCGTGGATATTTTTAACACTTTGTTATTGTTTGTGTAGTGCTTCTGAAAGAAAAGCTGAGGAGAGTAAACCTTGAGACAAGTTATCCATGCATTTTTTTAAAAATACTTTTTTATTATTTGTGTATAGTGCTTCTGGAAGAAAAGCTGAGGACAATAGACTCCGAGCCAAGTTATCCAGCAAGTTAGAGAGAGAGATTCCTGAAAGTTATGCAGAGTGTTATCCTGGGTATGAGTTGTTTTTATATTGAAAATGTACTTGTTTTTTAAATACCTTTAATATCAGCATTGTTCCTCAGAGAACACAAGTGACAGAAATGATGTTTAGTTTAGTCATGGTAAACCGCAATTGTTGTATCTTGACCATATAGTGATGTATTCTTTATGTTTTTATTGTTTAGTTGACTTACCTGTTTTTGTAATCATGATCACTATGCCCAACTATTTTTGTTGTAATCTTGATCACTAAAGAATGTGTTTTCCTTACATGGTTAACATTAAAATAGAATGTTATTATGTAAGTGCTATTTTTATACGACAGGTTATTCACTAAACTCTACTGTCAAATGTTTCAGGGCTCCTGAATATGATGATGCTTTAGACGATAGTGATGATGAAGTTGATTATTCCAAAATGGACATGGTAGGAAAACTTATTATTTTGATCATAATAAGCCAATATTATTGTGAGAGAGCTATAGACTGTACAGAGCTCACGTTACTATAGCACTTATTATTTCTATCGTTATGAGCTAATGTTACTAGGAGAAAACAATAGATCTTGTTATTTCGATCATAATAAGCTAATGTTGCTGTGAGAAAGCTATATATTATATTGATCATAAGGAGCTAATGTTACTGTGAGAAAGTTATAGATTTAGATAGTTTATATATTGCATGTGTTAAATTTAGTTGTTTTTAGAAGAAATAGTTTATCACAGGTTTGTTTCTGTTACTGTCTGTGTATAATACGTTCTGTAGTTCAGTAACTATGAATTGGTGATTGTTGTTACCAGAACCTTTTGAGTTTTTCTCATTGTTTTAATTGAGTATTATTGCATCATAATATCTAGTAGTGTGTGGAACATTCTAGACCTCTGTTGGGGTATAAATATGTGTCAAAAATGTAGTTTGAAACATAGGTAGATCTAGACTGGATGATTGCGAGTTTAGCCATAAGGAGTATATAGTGATGATTTTTAAAGTGAAATTATCACAGATTGTATTGTAATAATAGAGTAGAGAAGAATAATTTGTCTTGTTAATTGTGTTCTAAAGTAACTGAACCAGCTGGTGTGGACTTTGATGAAAAAAAGACAATTATTTGAAGCTCTGGATACAACTGTGGTAACTAACAGTGTAACAAACATTTTTATATGAGTTTGACATGTTTTAATATATCCTTTTAAAACAAATGGACTGTGTGCTGTTTGTTTATTTTTGAAATTTATCACCAACAAGTCGCAGATACCTACTGTAAAGAATCCATACAAACAATAATTTACAAGATATGGTTTAATCAACCAAAGATGCTCAAGATATAGTTTAATCAACCAAAGAAGCATGAGATATAGTTTAATCAACCAAAGAAGCACGAGATATAGTTTAATCAACCAAAGATGCACAAGATATGGTTTAATCAACCAAAGATGCACAAGATATAGTTTAATCAACCAAAGATGCACAAGATATGGTTTAATCAACCAAAGATGCACAAGATATAGTTTAACCAATCAAAAAAAGCATGAGATATGGTTTAACCAATCAAAAAAAGCATGAGATATAGTGTTTTATGCAGAATGTCTTCATACTTTATATTTCCCCTGCATTTTTAATTCCTCAGTTAAACTTTTTGTGGAAGCATATTCGAAACTATTAGTACTACTTTTGACAAGCTCATTTATTTACTATTTATTGTATCAGATAGAAATTGAAAGAAGTATTTTATTTAATGTTTTGATTTTCTAGTTTATATGTTTATTAAGTGGTTTTTCACTGAAGGCTGTGTATATGAAATGGGATAATGTTTTAAAGTATATCAAAACATCATGTGTTCTCTTTGGCCAAGAAGTTTTTGTTATTCCAAGCTTGATGCCCTTTTTTGACGAATTTCTTAAAACTATCAGAGTATTTATGATATATTTTAGAATCCATATATATTGAAAGCATGAAAAATCAAAAAATGTCTCTGTTCAACAATTCTATTTAACGTCATTTCCAAGATATTGTCTTTAATCACTTTCTGTTTCATGTTCATAGCTTTGGGTGCATATTTTAAAATTTGATAAAACAAACAAACATTCTACTTCCAGGGAAATAAGAAAGGACCTATTGGTCGATGGGACTTTGATACACAAGAGGAATACAGTGAATACATGAGCAACAAGGAGGCACTGCCCAAGTAAGGTTTTTTACCCACATCATACTCCTGTAAAGCAGGAATTAACTTAACTCTTTCAGCACGAAGCTTTGTCCCTGAGACCGACCTCATAACCACTTTGTGCTTGTTACAGTTTTAATGCTATAACTTTTAAATTACTAAGCACATGTTAACGAAATTTGGCAGAT